CATTTCCTTATTGTTAGGCCAACTCAGTACGTGAGTGAGAAAACCAAAAGTGACTACGAAGCTTTTACTGATTAACTGGATAAAAATATATTCATAATCTCATCCATTATAATGGATCTGTTGCTCGAATGACCAATCGCGTATACCTGTGAGCACAATTTACTAATCGCCTGGCCTAAAACCGAAATATCTGATTCGTTCAGCCTACCACCAAACTATGAATAGACAACTATTTGAACAGTCTTTTTAATTCGTCTTTCACTACATGCCAGGGTTACGTTTGTTTAATACTTTTCCAATGTAACGTTTGGATACTTGACTTGTTTCTGGATCAAAAGAAGCTGAAGAAAATCGAAGAAATAGGTAAATTTCTTATTGCTATGTCTACTATTCATGTTCCACCATAGACTTATGGATTTAAAAAAAATATAAAACCCGAAGGTGTTCAAGAAGTTTGTGTTTATTGAGAATTCGAAGATCACCAATACTGTATATATACAAAGTTTATGGAGCAAGAATGTTTCTTACTTCTAGAAATTTTAGCATTCCTTCCATGCTGATCATATTTCAGTGCCTTAAAAAGCCATACACAATTTTGTATTTTCTAACGACATTTGAAACAGTAATAATATCGGTAGTTGACGGCAAAGAAAATAAAAGGTTGAAAAAAATTACATTGTGAAAGATTAGTATCATTTATCACCATTCAATATCGTAATGGATCACAGAGACTTTTGAAGCTTTGGATTATTAATAAACAATAAATGAAATTGCATCGAATGATCGATGATAGAAAATACTTATAAATTACATGGTTCCCTGACAGTAATTGAAGTTGTTATGGAACCATTTTAATAAATGACCATAAAGTGCTAATTGGGGACTATCTTCCAGGTGAACATCATGGAGATGAATCATTTGCTCACCTAAAATGTTGAATGAAGATTACGTTATATCATAAACTAATCGAAGGCAAAATGTAATTAAGTGAATTTCAACCTCGCTGTCAGAAGGTATCTTGCTAACCACAACATAAGTCTTCAATATTGATGAGTCGCAAACTATGACAATGGCTAATCCAATACTTAATGATTTGTAGTAGTTGTAAAAATGATATCATTCTTTATAAAAACTTTTATTTAAATAAGAGTTTTACAGTTATAATTAGCTATTATGGCAATATATGTTAATGTTAGGTCCCAATAAGCATAATGAAAGGTAACTTTTGGGATCCATTTATGGACAAATAATATGCGTATATTTTTTCACGTATAGTTGTTAAATAACTAAACTGTTCATATTCATGTTCCTCATATTATGAGCTTTAGTTTGACCTATGAACTATTATTATACGATCTACCATTCTAGAATTATGACCTATCTATTAATTACTACCTCCTTCATTCACAGCCACATTTGGCTAATTGTTGTACAAATATCGTTTCATATTTTATTGATACAATGTAGTCTATCTAGTTGGTATATAAATCCAGTAAGCTTGAAATAAATGATTCATATTGGGGAGGCTGAGATTGGTGTTCTAGATTTAATTGGCTGGGCTAGGCAGGAAGCAGGACCAATAAGGACTCTAGACTGCTCATACAGGTTTACGCGTCATTGATCCGATCGATAAGTCGCTGCTCTAATTGGCAGTATCATTACGTATATAATAGCAGAGCACTCAAACCACAAGTTGTAACAGTTAAGAACTCAGAAATATGAATTTCGTGCTCAGTAAACCTTTATTGTATTATTATTATTATTTGAACATATAGATATTGGTACGAGGAGGCACCAAATACATATGCACCACACAAATCTCATTTGATTTGTGTGAGGGCTGTGATACTGCCCGGGTGCCCAGACCGAAGCAGGTGGTTTTCTTAGGGAGCCACACCCCGAGCCTTTGACCTAAATGCCTGATCCACAAGGCAGTGGAGCATCGTAAGGAGATGCAGTCCCATGGTAGCCGGTGACCAACGATTGGTTCATACGCCATTTGTTCCCTCCGGATACCGGAGCCCATGTGCACCACTGGTTTGGGATCCGGTTAAAGCGCCGGACATTCTCTTTTCGTCCTCTCACTTTCGTAAACAACAGTAATGCCACGAGAAGGCAATGAGTAGGACTTCTCTGGCAGAGGCTATATACGCGTGGTCATGTCAGAGCATTTCAAGAGGGAGAGCTGACTTTACCCACTCTCAGCCGTACCAGGGCATTTGGGGGCTACTTATATTGGATATATTCAGAACATATTAACGGAAAAATGTCGTATATATTACCAAGTATAGCACGGCTTAATCATCATCTGAATGTATAAATATTTCATTGGTTTAACTATTTCTTCGTTTATTTGAACGTCTAGTACTAATTGACTGTAATAAAAATTACTTTATTCAATTAAACTAGTCAATTGTGACGAATATCATATATGTAGATAACACAGTGTATTAATTGCTTAATAATAATAATAGTCGGTTTCTTATTCTTGGTTGATTAAGGAACAAGTTCTCCCTTTGAATCGAATCAGTCTATCGTTCAGTCCACTTGTTCATGTGGAGTAGTTTACATAGACCGCACAAAACAGCCCCTCTCGACGCCCATCTCCGAACATTTCCCTCACTGGTTGTGCAAAGGACTGAAAAAGTTGATCAAAAGCTCAGTCTTGGGGAATCTAATTAATTTGTTCTGTAGTGTCTGTCATTATGTTAAGCCCAAATACTTCATTATTCTAACTTTCGGACAGCCCATTCTATTCATTCTATTTGAGTCACATTCTGACCTTGTTAATTATTCGCTTATCAATATCTTGACTGTCTTTGTATGAGCGCGTAGGCGTATGTACACTTCTTATCCCGTTACTCATCACATGTCTGTAATTTATTTTTGTGGGCTTATAAATACTGATTAACTGTTTGTTAAGCGGGGAGTTGGCTTACCAGCCATCTCCACCGCTCGTCAATTTTGCTTCGCTTTCTTCTCTTCGCGTCGTTCTCCCGTTCGTTTGTCTAATCAACAATTATACAAAATATATGCATTCAAAACTCCATTCTCGTTATTTGACTTATTTAATTCCGTTATTAACTAACGCGATTTAAGTCAATGATTAAATACGAGGATAGACGATAGCAACCAATCATTTCGATCAAATTGAAGTCAGATCATGGGCCACTAAAGTTCTACTAAAATCCTAAAAAATCATTCGGATGGTCAAAAGAATCAACCTAAAAAAATACTAATTGAAAACCTACATACATCAGAGCCCATACCTATGCACCGAATCAAACATAAGCTTGTTTATTATCTTTCATTCTACCATGATTTTAACCTTCCTTTCTATCTTCTACAATCTACCGTTTTTTATTCCTGTTTCTTTCCAATTATTTTTGACATTTATTAACTAGCCATTATTCCAACTTTAAATCATTCCGTTCCTAAAATCTAACAAGTGGACAATTATTTTTCACCTTCGCACTTTTCATTAGCTGTTGTTTTGTTACATAATTTTCTCCAATATCTCATTTTTGTAATATAGTTTACAGCACAGTACTGCTCCAATTTTCTAATTATTCGATATATTTTCTTATAGACTACTATTTCCAATAAATAAATAACCATAAAGGCGATCGTACGCCTTAAGTAATTTAAATCATCGATAAGAAAATTCTCATTACCAAATTGTCTTAATGCTTCGTCAGTGACACAATTGATCTCTCTCATTATTTAATAACAAATAATTAAAGCTGATGAATTAAGAAACTAAATTAACAAATTAAGTTATTGTTTATTTGTTAAAAGAATAATACTTGCTTTAATTGATCAAATTGTGATGAGGAATTATCGGACTTTAGGTAAAGATATTGGAAACAAAAACACTGGAGAAAAATAAGTTAAAATGCTAATATAGTTAAAATAGACTTTACTTAAATTCTCAATAATACAGTTTCCATGGAGTTTGTTGTCTTTTTAAATGAGTGTACATGTGTTTGGTATAACGTATTGTATTCACTCACAAATATATATAAAAGCATCTGTTTCTTAATGGGTCATCAGTGAAATTAGTTCTTAGTCAGTACTTATAACAGAACAATACTGTAGTTTTTTTCTGAAATAACCAATATTCCACTTTTATTCGTTAGCAACGTTTGTTATAATGATATAAACAAATGCATTTTGGTGCATCATTTATTCAAAAAATTGCCTCTATTTTTACTCTTTACAAGTAATTCTTAATTAAAAGTAATGAGTACCAGTGTTTTCGTTTAAAACGAAAGAAAGTATGCAAAGTCAACTTGAAATAACATAGATCTCTCTATATGTATTCACTCCATAAAGTTTACTAGCATATTGAAAACCTTATTAATTATTCACACTTGACTCTGTCACTATTGTGGTTTTTCACAGTTGACAGACGTAAACTGTTAAACATAAAATATAAGAGAGTATGCTATGGAATATTTATCTGAAAACTTATAATTAATTTCATAAAACTTTTGTCTGACTATCTCTGCAAAGTAATTCGCTGTACACTGGTATTTCGTTATTATGTAACGAGGAATTAAGGGCGCTAAACTCAAAAGATATAAACAGGTTCTTACAGAGGCCGGTTCATACGTTTGAACCACCTAAGTTCCAACTGTGTGAATATTACAACTAACCATCTGTTTCAGATAAGTTCTAATTAAATAACCATAAATGTTAACTGTATGTCCTCACATTTTTTTATAAATCAACTACAAATTATTGTAGTACTAAATACTGGAAAAAACGTTGCAGTTGCTAATATAATTTTCTGATCTATCCTTTGAAGAAATTAGAAGCAAATGTACTGAAAATCAAGCACATTATATATCAAGGATCGATAAAAATTATGAGCAGATGAACTGGTAGAAAAATTTAACAAGTGAATATGTGTGTAAAACAGTATGTATATAAAAACAAAACAAAGTTAACATAAAAACTATAATCACAAATAAAGATTGATTGAATATTCAGCAAACGGAAGAGAGAAAGAGAGAAGTAATATGAATATGGAAATAGAAAATACAATGTAGAAAATTACTACAATACAAAACGTCACCATTACCATCACCATCACCGACAACCATAACAGTTCAAAATAATTAACGCTTGAAATCTATACACCATTAACAATAAATTGGAAATGTTAACATTTCACAATATTTAGAAATACACTTCTTGACTTTCCTAACAACAAACGATTTGAAAACAATATGCACAGATAGCTTACAAGTATCACGCAATTTACACAAAACAATATTGACAACAGAAGTAAATTATCACATGTAAAATATAAAGTTAGAATATTTGTCTAAATTGTGGATCATTGATCAGGTAACTAGTTATATTGACGACCTGGTTTTCTGGAGTACCGTAATGTGGTGGTACACCCAAATCAGCGTAACCAAGTGTTTTCAGTACATCACTTCCTCGGTGTATTGATGAGATGAAGGATTCGGGCAACACCGATTCATTTGAAGCCCATGAAGTTAGGGCAGCCAAGTGTATTGGATGAACAACCTGTGAAGTGCTCGGTTCGAGTCTGTGTGTATGTACAATAAGAAAAGTGGTGAATTCAAAGGCGAGAATTTCAATTTGATAGACAAATTTAACTAACTCCGTCTGGAGCCCCCTGGAGCTCCTGCCGGTCCCAAGCCCGGACAGAGGAGGATGGTTGGGCATAGGGTTAGCGACCCCATTCCGTAGAAAAATAACTCGCTAAAAATGCGATAACCAGAAAAAATAATTCAAGTCAAGTAAGATGAATTTAACTGTCTAACTAATGCACGACAGTGTCTCCGTTGAAAACAATGTAGATCAGAGATTTAAAATTTCTACTCTAATGATGTTGCAACTAGTAGTGATGTACCTGTAAATGAGATGTAGGGGTTTAGCACACTTGTCTCGACCAAATGCAGACACAACTCAGTCGGATTAAATCATTTGTCAGCGATTTAGATGAATGTACTGTTGTACATTTGACGGACAAGCTCTCACACTAAGCGTTCAGTTGAAGTCATTCATCCGATCAACAAGTGGATTTCGAGAAAAAACTTTGTTAAAGTGTCAATGTAGTTGGAGATTGTGGACAGGAGTTACTCGACATAGGTTTCGCACTGGTCGACACTAGTACTCAAATCTAACTGTTATCACTAAGAAATCGGTGCTCTCTATGAGTTTCGAATAATCATCATCGAATTACACTATCTTAGACGTTTCCACTGAGTAATTTGAATAGCTACTGACATAGTATGAGATTGAGTTAATCACAATTTATTGATTACTGTATTGTGAATAATGTAATGTTTGTGAAGTTAATAAGAAGCTGATCAGAATGTGGTGGGCAGTTTATTAGGAAGTGTCAATTTATGATAACATGCAAATGAATTCATTATCCACGTGACTTACTTGCTTAGAGAGCTTTGACTCATGGCCGTTTGATGGTTAAGAACGATTGGATCCCATGGTAATTCGAGGAATTCTACAGAAACAAATATATACAAATGAGAGAATAAGACAGTTATGATTTAAAATGTGATTTAAGGTTATAATAAACTGAATGTGTTTTGTTCATTTTGGAGGTGTTCAAAACACCTGGATGTTTTGATATTGTAAATAGATTTACTGATGTTAATTAGCGTACAAAATATTTTATCTCATTCAATACGAAACTATTTTCAGTTATCGATTTTCCGACACAACTTGGTTGATATTTCACACTGTTTCATTTGTTCATTTGTATGTATCACTCACAGTTATATTCGGGGAACGTAGACATGTGAAGTTGTAAACAGCTGATGAAAATCTATGAAATGAAGTGAATTTATATTATTTCACTTCAGTTGACAATATGAGAGTTGGATATTTTCATGTTATTACTCTGGGACAACACACTATTGTAAATATAATTCAATAACAAATTAGAAATGCAAGTTGTTTGTTTTCGACGGATTTAAAAAGTATTAGTCGAAGACAGAATTCATGACTGCAGTCAATCTAATACATTACGTCAATGTCAGTATCAGTTGGTGGGACAGCTCGCAATGTGCTTTGATCACATGAGAGAATCCTTTTTCAAATGCATACGTAATTGCCAAAAATGGAACAACAAAGTAATTCACGGATTTATTCGAGAGGACGTATTCGTTAAAGAAAATACCTCTTTCGACAATGCTATGTATTCAAGTTGAACAATCACATGCACAGGTAATGTTTACATGCATAGTATCATTGACAAAATGGAGAGGTGTTGCATTATTTAATAAATCACTAAAGTTTATCAGATGTTTTCATGTTTTGGTTGAAATTTAGTATAAAATTCTTAAAGATAACATGATATCATAATTTGTGGGTGAATCGTCGGCGTTAACTGTCTACGTGTGGATATGAAGCATAGTTCGATGACATAAATCAGCTGACTAAATCAAGAAGAGAACTGGGAAATTAGAAGAAATGTAACGGAAGAAGGAAGAGAGGTTGAACTCATGGAAGAATTGAAGACCAAACATCTTTCTCCTGTACATAATACTTGAGACGAAACCGATGATTTTCTAAAGCCTCTGTGTTGCATAGATTTTCAAATCGTCCCATCCTTAAACCAATTCATTTGAACACATGGATGACTTTGAAGGATGATATTGATAGAGCAAGTTGGTCAGAATTTACAAGAAATTTCGGAGGTCATCTGCCGACTGACTCATTAGTTTGATAGACGATTAGGATAACACTAGGAGATATGCTTAGAGAAGTCCTGTTTATGCTACCAGTTTAGCCTCTTCCACAAGAGAGAGAAAATTGTAGATACATATTAATTTGGATAAACGTCATGTTTGTCTTGGACACATTTACGAATCCAAGGTCGGTTAATGTCGACGAAATTATTAAATAGTGACACATCCCTCTGTTTTACTGAACATTACCATGTATGAGAAACCACCTATAAATACAGGTGTACGATTTACGGAAATTGCAACACTGAACGTATTTTTATCGCTGAATATTCCTTATATTTCGTAAATGAACTGAACCGAGTGACAATCACATCCTAACTTACTACGTCAATATGGTTTTTAAATCATTCTCATGCGTTTCGAAATACATCTGAGGGGTGAAAAATATGATTAGTTATGTGCATATATATGTGCGCATTGGTCTCTATTTAAAAGACATCTGAGTTATGCACTGCATAATGTATAACTGATTTCAACAATTGAATTACTAATATATGTTATTAAGTTGGCTATTTTGTAAGTGATATGATGGAATAGATAGATGCTGTATAAATGTTATTTTTATTCAGTTAATCTGTTTCAAAATGTCTATTAATTTCTTATTTGTTTGTAATGAATCAGTTAATTGTGTACAATCGTTTCTTAACAAAATGCAACTAAAATAGTAATCTATTAAGATTCCGTTTTTTTTTATAGTAAATAAGTTGTTGCAATGTTTAAATGGAAGCAAGCGGTATTTTAGTAAACATTCACTAAATTAAGTTATGAGTTCGATGAATCATCAGTTTCTTATTGAGTAAGTTAGTATGTTTTTCTTTTCTGTTTCTATAATATATTTTCTAGATCTTAAAAATAATCAACATTCATTATATAAATACAATTACCGTTGATAGAGTTTACTAGCTACATGTTTTTGGCATCAAGATTGAAAAGAATTTGGATTTTCGCCTTTTTTTGGTTTTTACAATTATATCCAATTAAATAACTTACTGAATTTTAGAGGACTTGATAGCAGAATATATTGCAGGGAAGGAGAACGCAGGCAGGGACAACTAAACAAATTTAAACACACATTTACAGAATGTTTTAGTAAAATCTGAGAACCATACAGTAAAACTTGATTTGTCAATCAATTGTCTCAGACTTGATTTATCTTTCTTTTCCAGATCAATCGTTCGCTGTTCTCGTTCTCTTTTCTATGATCTTCTTAACTTTCGGCCGCCTGGCATTTCGCTTTCGATTGATGATACATACTACTTATATCTGTCAACATTAGTAGCACGCACTACAATATAATTACATATTTTAGGTAAATAGAAATTTTCTATTCATTTCAGTGATAAGTACTAATGAGTTTCATGAGAAACTATCGATAAGTACTAAGCGAACTCTCTTAAGTTTATGTCTGTTTCATTTTAATTGCAATAATTCTAATTTGGAACTATTCTTTGTTGATTATGTGTTTAGATGACTAAAGCGTATGATTATGATGATAATTTATTTTGAAAATTCCATAAAATGAATGGAACAATGAACACAATCAATAAAAAACTTTAGTTTTAAATATTGGAAAATGATCTACAGGAAGGCAAAAAATAAAAATATCTTTTATATAGATAAACAACACATTCTTAAAATTTCTAACACCTAAGGTTTTATATTTTGTGCACAACTGTGCATAATCCAATTCTTCTACTTATCTAGCATTTATTTTAAATACGCTCCACTGTCATTATCTAAATGTGTGTTGTAGATTGAAAGAAAATGAGCTGCAGAGATAATAAAATCGTGTAGACATTGTTGACATATTCAATTTCAAAAGGATTGGATTATTCCGTTGTTGATATGTTGACTTCAATTTGATCGGTTTTCGTTAGCATATGGGCATCCTGTGAGGATTGTCTGAATATAGTCATTATTGAACTTAAACTCGTACCTGTTGGACAACTGAGTGGTTATCCGAACTCGGCAGCTAAGTGGATAACAGTACGACGTTTGTAGTGAATGGTAATGAGTTCGAGTCCCGAAGTGAACATCAACTCTGGGTTGTATGTATTTCCAGATGACGAGTCCCAACTAACACGGAACACAAGTCTCGAATGGCACTCGTAGTCACATTCCATATAATCTATGATAAATTGTTAATATAATTAAAATATTTGATGCGACCGATTTAAATTAAAATAGTATTTTGACTAAAGTGAGCTCACTAGTTCAGGTGAGTTCGGCGACGTAAGATAGATGTTGTTATTTTGTAAGTGACTGGTTGCAATACTGATATCTTACTTGACTAGTGAATTAATCACAGCACGCCCATCACGTACCATGTGAACGAATTTAATGGAAGACTATATAGTATATAACTTTGCCTATAGCACTTCTAGAGCCACTGCCGGAGGCTGCTGCTACACTGACTGTCTTCACCTACATTTGTTGATGTGTATGGATTAGACGAGCTATTCATCTGAGAAGTTCAAATCGTCTAACTGCATCCAAGCTGTCCAGATATAGAGGTCTTCATAATTCAGTCGACCACCAGAAGAAAGTGAAAGGGGGAGAGTAAACAGCCTTGCCTCACTCCGGTTCTCATTTGGAATGTGTTTGTCAGCTGTCCTTTATGCACCAACACCTTGCAGTGTAGTTCATCGTACGAATTTCATATGATATGAGCGATCTTCTCATGTACACCATAGTGTCGAAGAATGTTTCATGAGGTCCTCCTATCCACACTGTCAAATGCTTTCTCATAATCGAAGAAGTTGATGTATAGTGACGAGTTCCATTCAATTGACCTGCTCAACGATGATTCGTAGTATCGCGATTTGGTCTGTGCACGACCGATCCTTACGGAATCCATCCTGTTGATCTGGAATTTGGGCGTCCACTATGTCTTTAATCCGGTTCAGTAGCACTCTGTTGACAACCTTTCCTGGTACTGACATTTCCTCAGATCTCCTTTCTTTGATATCTTGATGATGAGGTATCCTTTTTTCCAGTCTGTTGGCCTTGTTGTTCCTCCTATATCCTCCTGAATAGAATGTGGAGTGTTTTTGCAGTTGGTTCCGTGTCTGATTTCAGTGCTTCGGTCGGTATATTGTCAGGACCTTCTGCTTTCCCATTGCTGATTTGTCAGATGGTCATGCTGATTTCTTCGATCGCTGATCGAGTGAGATATGTAGGAAGGTGTGTGTGTGTGCTGCTTCGATGTCGAGTGGATTCAATGGAGCTGGTCTATTCAAGAGTTCCTCAAAGTGTTCTACCCATCTGTTTTTCTGTCCTTGAATCCCTGTGATTGTCTTGCCTTGTTTGTCCGTAACTGGTCTCTCTGGTTTACTGTATTTCCCTGTCAGTTTCTTCGATGTATCATATGGTTGTTTGATGTTTCCTTCTATGGCAGCTTTTGTGATGTCGTTACTAGGTCTTCCCCGCATTTCTGTTTGTCAGCTCTATTGCTCTTCTTCACTTGCTTGTTTGCTTCAGTGTATTCAGTTTGTGCGTTGACTTTCTCCGTTCTTGTTCTGCTGTTGTTAATTTTTGTCTTCTTGTCCTTCATTTCTTGGATCTTGCCCAGGGTTTCGATTGTGATCCGTTCCTTATGATGATGCTTGTTGCGGCCCAGAACCTCCTGACACGCTGAAGTTAGTGCTTCTTTGATACCTTTCCAGTTGTCCTCCATAGTAGTTTCTTTTTCCTTGAGTAGATCTTGTGAGGCTTGGAAGCTGTTGTTGATAGTTATCTTGAATTGGTTGAGTTTTTTAGCATCTCAAATGAAGGTTATATTGAACCTTTGTAATGATACAAATAAATAATATATTTGTAATATTCCAGTGAGTAGAAAAATTAGATTTTCTACTCAAACTTTGGTAATGATACTTTGTAATGATGTCTGTCCAGTTGTCCAATGATTTTTTAGCTTCAGTTTCATCTTGGCAACCACCAGTTGATGGTGATCCGAAGGTATGTCAGCTCCTCCTCTGGTTCTCAAGTCTTCGATTGACCTTGTGAATTTTTTACTGATGCAAATATGATCTATCTGGTTCTCCGTGGTGTGGTCCGGTGAGACCCATGTAGATTTGTGTATGC